TCTCTCTCTCTCTCCCTCCCTCTTTCGCTTCCTCCCTATCATTTCTCGCTCGGTAAATTTCTCTCTATCTCTCTCTTTCTCGTTCGCTCGCCCACTCGCTCGCTCACGGTCCCGTGTCCAGTGCAAACAAAAGGCGACTCTGCCATCTTCAAAGCCGACATAATGTTCAGCGAGTGGTGGTTCTGATGAAAAGCAGATGTCGAGGGAAACGGCTTGCAGATGTTGTCGTAGGCCACATTCGTGCCTTGCAATCGAAAATTTTATGTCGCCGCTCCGATACCCAAAACCCCCAACGAAATCCCATCTGTCAAGAGGGACAAGCTGAGAGACACCATCAGCGAGAGACCAAGCGGAGCGAACTTTCGAAAGCGAGCACACAAGCTACCATCTTGCATTCGAACGGCACGTGGGGGCAGACGTGGGGCTGAAGATCTTCGCCTTTAAAGCGGGGATCTGGGCTCCAGCCCAGTCTTCTTTACTGAGCTTGAGAGGCTCAGGCGTGGAATCGCCGACACACAGTCGACGATGAAGCCCCCGGATGGCCACTGCCATGAGGTTGGGGAGACTGCCCACATCTGCTGAACCCGACCGGCGGACTGCCGATGTCATTTCCTTAAACAAGGACTCGATGTTCGATGACCATGCGACCTCTGGCATCCAGGCCAAAGTGAGGCTGAGGGCCTCTGGGTGCAACTTCCATTGATGCTTCTCCCATACAGACATCAGCTCGCGGTAGCTCTGAAAGCAGACATATCGGCAATTGTCGTGCAAGTCGGATGCCGTCACCTGGCTGCTCTCAAGTCGAACAACCATCTGCCATTCAGCTCGCATCTCGTTCAAAATGCGACCTTTCATTTCAGAGTCTGCATCCGGAGCAATCAATGCAGCAGCTTGGTTCGGGCAGCTCCTCAGGTAAAGGAAGAACTCTAGCAGTTCGTGGCAGGCAGCTAGATACATACCCAGGCATTCCAGGAGCACCGTCTGAAACGTGGAGCTCCGGCGAAACTTGATGTCCATAACCTCAGCTGAAAATGGTATGAATACTGCGATTTCTGATGCTCATGATACTCACTCATGATCCCTACACAGACCTGATTCAGGTGGCAGGATCCTGAGCTAAACGAACAAATAAATACGATAATGTAGCCTGCCTCGACCGATTGGCCACCTTCCCCGCCTGTAGCGATGATGTTTCTGAATGAATGAACTCTGTTTCACTAAGTAGCACAAACCCACAAAGCCAACCATCCCAGAATAATGTTGTGCCTTGCACCCCTGCTTAGACAGGCTATGATATACCTCGAAAGCTTTGCTCGTGAATGTCCGGCGACGATGATAGTTGTAAAAATTCTTAACTGATTCTTGCCTATGTCAAACCCTACATAAGCCCTGTGGCTGTGGATACACCGACTTGGCCGACTGTTCACCGAGCTGGCTCCGGGTCATGAGTCCGGTCTGTCTGGAGTTAGGATGAACCACCTATGTTGGATAGATGGGTTTATAATAATAATAATTATTATATAATATAATAATTATTAGGATTCTGTGGTTTCGGGTGGGGGAGGAATAGTTAAGACTCCTTATTCCCCGGGCACCGGGTTGGAAGCTTTTTCCAGAATGATACATGGCGACTTGCGTAGATAATACATTCGCGGAAGCTAGGATTCAGTCTAGCGGCCAACCCACCGATGGCCACGTCGGGGAGAAGATCCAGCACCCTCGAGGAGAAGCAATCGGTTGCCAGGGCCGAAAGCCGCATCTCGAAATCATTGCTGTTGGCTTGGGCCGTGAAGTTGTGCAGGGCCATCTTTTTCGACTGCTCTTTTTGCTTAGTTGCGGCACGGCATACAACTGCAGTTGCTACATCATGCTGCCCAACAGAATTAGTCGCGAACTCATGGTGCAGCTGAAACACAAGATGCAAGCAGATATCCTTGAAAGGAGTGACCACCTTCTTGGCGAAGCGGAAGATGGAGAAGAGCAGCTCGTCCATGAGTGCCTGATCAGAGGGTTGCGGTCAGTCTTTTTCTTGGATGCTCTTTGTGGCAAACATAATGACACGGAGTGCAGGCCTTGACACACTTCTCCACAGTCTTGTCTTGACTAGACTCACTCTCTTTCTTTATCGCATCCATGTTCAGCGGGTTTTTGCCCACCTGTTTCGAAGCTCGGGCGTGAATCTTTTAGGGTTTAGGGTTTGGGGTGTTTGAGCAGTAGTGATTTTTGCTAGGGTTGCGATAGGGTGTAGGCAAATGGTTTGTGGAACTAGCAGCGATCTGGAACAGATAGAGCCCAGCCTCAAGCGAACTCCATAGGATCAACAATAATGTGCAAGACATTTGAAAAGTTGCTGCCGTGTGGGCCCACGAACACCATCGAGACCACGAGAAGGACTCGCTGTTGTACCTCGGACTCATCATTCAAAGCTAATCACATATTAATATAATTAGAAACATATAATACTTTGGTCTCATGCTAGTCGAATGTACACACACTCTCTTTCTCTCTGTCTCTCTGTCTTTCTCTTTCTCGAGCATTCTAAAGACGATGAATGAGTGAACACACACACACACACTCCCTCTGTCGTTTCAACCCTTTGTTGCACACATAACCCAAATCCATTGAAATGGCCTGGCTCCACTCAGATCAGAAACCACTGGGAGGATTCCTGATAATGAACATTAGTGCATCTCAGCCACTTCATCGTCTTGCCCAGGATATCAATTGTCCTCTCGAAGTTCAGCTTCGCATCGGAGGTGTGGGGGAGGCCGTTCCTCGGTTGACTTCAGATTCTGTCTGTCAATGAGCGATGCATCATCCATGCAGACGATTCATGTTTGAAGTGACTGACTATTATGTATTCCACACTTCCAGACTTCGACTTATGAAGCTTAGTCTCTCTCGCAAGATATCCCTGCTGAAAAGCTCCATCAATACATCATCTTGATGAGCCTTAACCATGAGCACAGAAGGGCATGTAATTTCAGAGTTGTAGGCGAAGGCAGCACCGTCCATAATTGCAATTGTATAGGCTTGCTGCAGAGGTACAACTTCCAAGTACCGTTCCCCAGCCTCCTTCAGGGTAGAGGCAAAGTTGCTGGTGTTCCAGGGGCTTTTTTTGGCCCTGAAGAGCCATCCACTCAACAGTGTCATTCCTGGGCACGGGGACAGAAACCCAGATTGAGCTGCGACACAATAACAGAAGGAATTAGAGAATCTCTGAAGGGGCAAGCGTCTTTTGATCATCGGGCTGCAAGATGTCACACGACCCATGTGAGCGTGGAGCTTGTGCCTTAGATCAACAAAGCCAAACACGAAACTGTTGCCGGAAGCACAGCAAAATGAGACTATTTACTTTCAAGCACTGCTCTGTTGCTGCGGAGCAGCAATTCGTCGCGAATAAATCCCACATTGGCACCGTTGTGTGCGAGGAATTGGTAGGCTGAGTACAAGGGGCCGCCCTGATCTGGGCACAGTATGAGCCGGAGGCTGTTGCAGCCTTGGCCCTCCACAACTGTGTCCCATCTGCTCGCCCCGGTATCCCTTTTGACCACGAAAGACAACACCTCATCATTCAGAGTGTGGTGTGCTCGTTCTTCGTTCTCCGCATCTACAGGAGCACAGGGGCAGCTCGGAAAAATGTCGTCCAAGCTAAGTCCNNCGTTGGACACAGCCTTTAGCTCCTGCTTGGCAGCCAAGCGATCTTCTTTCAGAGCATTGAGTGCTTTGGGCCTCGTATTGGTGAACTATTAATAGATTAATGTGACATCACCAACCAGCACGGACACTTGAACTGACTTGTTCCTAAGTGCTGCGAGGGGCAGCTTCTTTTTGTCCTGCTTGGTCGCGGGTTCAGCCAGCACGGCCTTCGTGTGGCTCTCGGCCACCAGGCTTGCCACCCCCAGCTTCTGAGGTGCCGTGGCACCGCTCGGTAGCAATGTCGACAATCTCTGTAATGTACCGACACTGAGATGATTTGGAAGCCCGAAGACTGGCAACCATACCTCAGGCAAACTTAAGTAGGCTCCCCAAGAATCAATTCAATGTGAGCCAACAGCAAGAAAAAAACCTGATCTGCTGCTGAGGCTCATCGTGCTTCGCCTTCGGAGAGGCATCGCAGATGATTGCCAGCGACTTGTGTCGCATTCCATCGAGGGCCTGGAAGCAAACGGATTGATTGAAAGGGTCCTGTTGATTGAGTTTCGGATTCGTGGGCCTGCTGCGTGTTTCGTTGGGTCTTGGCGAGGTAGCGGTGCACGAAATCAGCAGTCGTCCTGGTATTCTCTGGACCATTGCACCCAACCTTTTGTCTCTACATTAGAACCATTAGAACAGGCGGAACACAGCTCGGTCCTGTTGTAATGCGAGGGACAAATGGCATCGAGCCCGACATCTTTTAAGCTCGAGTCTCCCTGCTGGCTGAGAAACCCACCACCACGTGATAGAAATCGTGCTACAGCCATCTCTGCTTTGGGTTTGCTCTCGAGCTTGAGTCTTCGCCCATCCCTGGTCGGAACAAAGAAGCAGCTCTGGAGAAGTTACAGACAAGAACCCTTGCAGCCCCCAGCACAAAATTTCTGGAGCTGAGGATCTTCGTCGCTGGATGGAACTCATGGTCTGCGTGGACCGGCGGCAGCACATCGGTGGTCAGGTCCACCAATGATCTCTCAGCAGCTTGGCTCAGAAGATGCACGAGCCGTCTCTGCAATCGAGAGTACTTGTTTGTATCCTCGAATGAGGGAAGCGAGACTCGGCAGTGGGATAGGCCTATCACGGCCAGCGAAAAAACGAAATTAGGCTAAGTGGCATCAACAGAGTCCTGGTGGGGTTGGCGAAGCAGGAACCACACCACTGATGCCACCTTGAGGCCTCGGTCCATGAGACTCTTGCCTGCACCAAACTATATTATTAACATAACGGCAACAGGACGGACCTGCGTCCGCCGATTGCTCCACGACTTTGCAGCCATTCCACCTGCAGGGGTTCAAGGCACGAGTGGGTTAGGAATTTAGGGTTTCTAGCAGCGACTGTCCAAGGTTCCCAAGCTAAAGGGCCTCTGCATCAGGCCCGCATATGTCAAAAAAGCGTGCCACGAGGCCCACGTCACCAAGCCATTGTTGATTCGAAGCTTGCCTCAGATAGCCGGTGCACCCGTGTCAGAGCAGCAGGAGCAGCAGCGGTAGCAAGCGGCAGAAGCAAGAGCAATGCGGGGACTCTGGTCTAAAGTTTCAAAATTTCAAGACCCTACAACTCAAGCCCAGCGACAATTTTCGTTGTTCGGCACCAATGCAACATCGAAGCTTCCAACAATGCTGGAACCCAAGATGACATCCAAGGTTTTCGCAGCCGCTGTTTGAATGTCTGGTTTGCAGCCCCGGGTCTGCAAAACGTAAGCTGCCTGCACCGAGGCTGCAAATCAGTGCAGCACAGTGCTGTTTGAAGTAGACTATTTGCAGCCAAGCCACCAGGAAAATCGCACCCGGAAGGGTGACTCCGTCGAATGGCAGCTTGAGGCGTACATTCGCTCTGGCATTCACTCCTTTGTAGGTCACTTTTCTAATGCAATGGATATTGACGAGGTCAACCGCCCAGGCTTCGCATATATCCATTGCGAGCCCCTCTTGCCTTGGATATCAGTCACTGAGAACATGCCTGGGCGATGTTGGGTAGCTAATTGAAACAGAAGCTTGGGGGCCGCTGCTATAATCTTTGCACACATTGTAGGCTGCAGACATTTTCGAAAAGAAGTTGTGGAAGTGCTGCACTCGTTTGCTGACAGCCCAGATCTCTTCAGCTCTGAAGAGAATTTTGTATCCTTGGATGCCGTCGGTAACCTGTGCACAGGGCATTCCATGTAGGTTCCGACAGACAACTGCCCTGGAAAACCCAGCCCCCCCGAAGCGTGTGCCTTGTGGAGCTGAAGTACTCCCTTCTTTGCAGCACTGCATGACAAGTAGAGGGTCTCGTAGTCGTGATAGTCTACCCCAGGACTACCGCTGCTATCGGAACCTGGCACCGCTGGCCGGGCTTCATCTGCTTCGACTGGAGCGGAAGCCTGGAAGAGTCTTGGCCGAAACCACAGACCAAGGGAGGCCGCCGATTCACGGCAGCTTGTCATTGCTTCCTGGCAGACAGAGGACAGTATTTATGTTGCATGGGTAGGAGACAGGGCATGAAATGTCATATGAAGCGGGGCCTCCCAACCCTCCGGGGAGACATCTAAGTGGCCCAAAGATCTTCCATCTCGGAAGTTGCAATCAGCCCATTCTATTTTTTTCACGATGTTCAGCTTCAGCTCCTCTCTTTCGACGGATAACTCAGGAAGCCTTAGATTCAGATCATGTGTTTCGCAAAGGGAGCGAGCACGTTAAATTGAGTCGGCACGTTGCCTGGGCGGCAGCACAGACCTAAACTTCTCAGCCGAAGCTCTCGCACAGCTTCTTCAATCTTCCCTGCAGCCAGGATTTGGCTGCCATGGTCGCCTCGGCTGGCTGGCGGCCCGAAGTGGCCCGGCTGCCGAAAAAACCGGCCTAGAACCGAACCCTCGCCGACACAAAAAGCTGAGCGAGCACGTACTCCAGTAAACGGTTTTGCTCCGAGCAAGCATGCAACTTTCCTCGGCGTTTGAACACTCAATGGTCGGTTTGGTCCGTTTAACAGAACACCATGCTCGCTAAGATTTTTTTTTCGCCCAGAAACGAACACCGGACGAAAATATCACGTTATACGAGCACGGTGTGCCTGAGAGAACACGTGGCGAACTAGCGGGCACGTACTGGCGGCAGCGAGCACGTAGAGCGGGAGGGAGCACGTATATGGTTCCAGCGAGCACGGGGGGGGCTTGAGACGGCACGGGCATTGGAAACAAAAGTTGCTTTGTAGGCACGGGACACCGGTTTCGCCTTCTAACCTCTCTTCGCAGCAACCCTGTGCGACCGAGCCAATCCCTCCCGATCTGCCGCCGAGGAGCAGCAGGGCCAGCTGGGCACCAAAGGCGAAACCACGGCAGCAAAAGCGGGTTCAGGAGGGCTCTGTTACTTGATATCAGCGTACTTGATATCAGGGTTCCGGGCAAACTCTGGGGTCGCTACAAAGCAGGCAGCCTTTTAAGGGTGTTTGTGGGGCTTCCGTGTGCAACTTGAACTGACTACTTCGGCTGGGACAAACTTCAGTGCCGGGTTGAGGCTTAGGTTTAGGTTGTGGTCCAGGTTGGGCTTCGGGGTTGGTTTTGTTCATGCCACGAATGGAAACTCGCCGTCTATCTAGAAAACAATGTCGGCGTAGGCTTAGGGCCGGGCTTGGGCTGAGTAGGGAGTTTTAATAATTATATAATATTAATAATTGCTCGGGATTTCAGGGACTGGGGCTTGGCTAGGCATGGGCTTCGGATTATTTAGCGAACCCCATATTTTTAAGAGTGTAGCTTCTAGAACAGCAGCCAGACCTAGCCTAAATATATGTGGCTAAAATGCTATCTTTTAAATACATACTATTAAGGAACTAACCAATCTTCGTCAGTACCTGTTAGTCTAGCTTCAGCACAACCAGAAGCGTCGTCCTTGTGTTCATGCCTCATGTTTCTCTAAGAGCCATGACCTCGCACGGGATGGCAATGGTTTTCATATCTATCACTCACTCACACAACACCACAACTGCACTTCACAATCGATGGTCTTGCTCAGACAGTGGCAACATGTCTGGGCTAAGAGGACAGAACTCCACGGCCGTGTTTTCACAACACCCTGTGGCACTGTGTGCAGCACTGCATGACGAAACACAGTTTCAAAGACGACGTGTCCAGGAACACGAGTCGGCCGATAGCCTAAATCATCCTCGGTGCTTTGGACATCTGCAGCAGTATGCTATTTTACAGCCTCTAGCTCTAGCCTCTCACCCAAAACTGGCTCTGCGTATCGAACCCTGAAGTTCAAGTGCATCCATCACACCGGGAAGCTGCCACGACTCAGGACCCGGGATTCGCGGCTGCTGGGCGTCGCGACGGTGTCGAGGCTACTGCCTGGGAGCTGGAGTCAGCTGCAAGCTTTTGCAGATTGTGCCTAGGACAATGCAATAGTGCAGACTGCGTGCAG